ACGACGACGACGACGACGACGACAACGAGACCGTTGCGGCGTCGTCGTCGCTGCCACCGCTGACGCTGCTGCCGCAGGATGAGTCGCCCCCGCACCACCGCCGTCATCGCGAGCAGCCAGGGAGGGTCCTGCTGGAAGTGTGTAGCCCCCCTCCCCTGCTTCGCGGCCTCCCGATCGGGTGCTCGTTGACGAGGGGCAACAACGTGGGGTGAAGAAACTTATGAAGGGGCCCCAGGACACACAAATAAATACACACAAATAAAAACATTCCCCATGTTTTCCCATATTTTCTGGGTTTATGTCTTCCCCCCCACTTCCCATATTTTCCCATAGTTTCTGGGGAATCGAGGATGAATTGTGTCTGTGTGTTTCTTTTCCTCCTGAACTTAGGCCTTTTGTGCACTGGCTGGGCCCGCGGTGGCAGTGCCGGGGCCGTCCAGGGATCTTGTGTGAAGGGGCCCGGGGACACACAAATAGATAGGCACGAATCCCAGGACTTCCCGCACACTCTCCATACTATGTGGATGTTCGTCTTTCCCTCCACTTCCCACACCTGCCACTTCTCTCTGGAACAGACGATTCTCTGTGTCTGTGTCGTCTACCTCCTGATCATAAGGACGCGCGGCGAGGACGCAAGACCCTTGGAAGCCGAAGATGGGATTTCTGGGGCGGCGGACGACGAAAACCCCAAGGACGCAAGAGCAAGGAAGAGCAGGGTCGCAAGGGTACCCTGAGCAAAGTCGCGCGTCCTTATTAGGGCTTTTGACTGTAGGACCACTGTCCTGCAATCCCCAATCCCCCCACGTGCATTTGCCCCCCCCCCCCGTGGCCGTCCGCCAGACCTGCCCCAGGACCCCCCCGATCCCTGGCTCGGGCAGGCACGTCGTGGACCCCCAGCGAGGGGGGTGGCCCGCCCGGTGGCGACGCCGTCCCCATCAGGGGACCACACGCGATCCCTACCCCTACCCCCCGCGATTTCTGAGGAGCCCCTTCACTAATCCGGGCTAGTCCCGCTTAATCCGTCGTAATCCTGCTTAATCCGAAGCCCATTTCGGCGTACTTAACAGCTCCCAAGTGGGGCTTACTCCTCCTTGATTTTTCCGACGAAGCCCTCCCACGAGCGCAGTGAACCCCACCCTCCCCCTCAGAAATCGTGGGGGGTAGGGGTAGGTTTCGCATGTGGCCCCCTAGACAGGACACGGTGGGGCGGGCAAGTTTTAGGAAGCAACTGCTGGGAGGGCTTCGTCGGAAAAATCCAGGAGGAGTGAGCCCCATTCGGGAGCTGTTGAGTACGCAGGAATGGGCCTCGGATTAAGCAGGATTAAGACGGATTAAGCGGGACTGAGCCGGATTAGTGAAGGGGCCCTCAGGAATCGTGGGGGGTAGGGGTAGGTTGGGCGCCCGAGTTATCCAGGGTAACTCGGGTCCGGGGTAACTCGGGTTTGGATTCCCGAAACACGAACCCGAGTTAACCCTGACCCGAGTTACCCCTGATGATTCGGGGCTCTGGATGCCCGAATTATCCGGGGTAACTCGGGTCTGGGGTAAGTCGGGTTCGGAATCCCGAAATACGAACCCGAGTTAGCCCTGACCCGAGCTACCCCTGATGATTCGGGGCTCTGAGTAGGGTTCGCATGTGGCCCCCTACATTTTGCACGTGACGCCGCCCAGGGCCACCGCGGGAGCGGCACTTGTTGACGAGGTGCACCAGCGCGTCCAGGCACTGCTGCCTCGGGCGGGGGCGGGCAGAGCGATCGAGGGCGGGGAGACGAGCGAGAAAGGAAGCGGAGGAGGGACCGCTCCTCCCCACCACCACGACAACCACCCTTATCCGCACTGTCGTCGTCGCCCCCAAGCATCAATTCATCCATCCATCCATCAATCCGTCCATCCAGTCATCCACCACCACCACCACCAGCCATCAACGTTCTCCTCCTCCTCCTCCTCCTCCTCCTCCTCCTCCTCCTCCTCCTCCTCCTCTTCCTCCTCCTCCTCCTCCTCCTCCTCTTCCTCCTCCTCCTCCTCCTCCTCCTCCTCCTCCTGCTCCTCCTCCTCCTCACCATCATCAGCATCACCATCATCATCATCATCATCATCATCATCATCATCATCATCATCATCACCATCATCATTACCATCATCGTCATCGTCATCGTCATCGTCATCGTCATCGTCGTCGTCATCGTCATCGTCATCATCACCACCAACACCAACAACAACAGCCGCAGCATCATGATCGGCATCATCATCACCATCATCATTCACGGCATCATCAGCAGCAGCACCCCCATCCACAACCTCCTGCTCCTCATCATCCTTGACATCATCGTCATCATCAACATCAGCAGCAGCAGCATCCTCATCATCATCATCATCATCATCACCATCATCACCACCATCATCATCATCACCATCATCAGCACCATAATCATCATCATCAGCATCATCATCAGCAGCATCATCCTCATCAGCAGCACCATCGTCATCATCATCATCATCATCATCATCATCATCATCATCATCATCATCATCATCATCATCGTCGTCAACAACATCAACAATAACATTTACATTGATATGTTCAGCAGCAGCATCAAAATCGGCATCCTCATCACCATCAGCATCCACAGCATCCTCATCATCAGCAGCAGCATAGTCGTTAACCTTATCACCCCAAGCATCCACCACACCATCATCATAATCATCATCACCATCATCATCACCATCATCACAGGAATCATCATCAGCATTCGCATCCTCATCCACATCATCATCATCATCATCATCATCAACAGCATCATCATCTAAAGCATCAGAATCCGCATCCTCATCCGCATCCTCACGATCATCATGATCATCATCATCATCATCATCATCATCATCATCAGAATAATCATCATCATCATCATCATCATCATCACCATCACCATCATGATCATCATCACTACCTCCACTACTACCATCGTCATCATCATCAGCAGCATCATCACAGCATCATCATCATCATCATCATCATCATCATCATCATCATCATCATCATCATCATCATCAGTCTCGTCATCATTATCCTCGCTACTGCCGCCGCCACCGCCGCCCATCGACCACCGAAGATCTCAAGACACTCCAAAACCAAACCGTGCAAGCTCAACCTACCCGAATGCGTAGCCTCTCCGTGACATCAGGGGGTCTGGCCCACGGATGCGCTGTTTCCCCTCCCGCCTCACTTCTTCCTTCCTCACCATCCTCCCCCGCTCCCTCCGCCTCTCTTTTTTTCTATTTCGGCGCCGGCAACATCTACGAGGCGCCAGAGAGGCACAGAACGACATAATCTGCCAGCTAAATGCCAGGATGGGCAGAAAAAAACCCGCTCCCTCCGCCTGCTCCTTCTCCTCCCCTCCTCCTCCGCTTGCTCCCCCATTCCCCTCCTCCTCGTTCGGAGAGGGAGCGGTAGGCAGGGTACTACCCCGTGGCCAGATCTGCACGCGGACCTGCCCGCCCCCCCACTGCTCGACCCGCGCCGCCCAGCCCTCCCCACGACGACGACGGCGCCGACGCCGACGCCGGCGACGGCGACGACCAGGACGACGCCTGCCACAACGACGACCACGACGACCACGACCACGATCACGACCACGGCGACCACGACCACAGCGACGGCGAAGAGACGACGACAACGACCACGACGAGGACGCTGGCGAGGACGACGATGACGACGACGACGACGACCACCACGACCAAGGCCACGAGGACGACCAAAACGACGACGACGACGCCGGCGATGACGACGATCACGACAACGGCCACGACGAAGTCGACGACGAAGTCCACGACGACGACGCCAGCAAAGATCACAACGACGACCACGACAACGACGACGACGACGACGACAGCAAACGATCACGACGAAGACGTCGAAGAAGACGGCGACAACGACAACGAAGAACAAGCACAAGAAAACCGAGGAAATGAAGAAGAATAAGAAGACCACGGCAGCCACGACAACCACGACTACGACCACAACGACGTCACGACCTCGACGACGACGACGACGACGACGACGACGCAGGAATACAGGGAGAACATGTATAATACACCACACCACCCCGACGTCGTTCCGGACCCTCAAAAAAGAGTCCTGGGATTGAAAAACATATGATCGAGCTTCCGATTAGAGGCGCCACCTGGCTCCACGACTCCGAAGGCTGTGGTCTGAAGAGGGTGTCGTTTGCCACGCGCACCCTGGGGGGCGGGCGAGGACCTCGACGGAGACCTCTGTCGCGCCCCTGGTGACCCCTGAGCCCCAACGGCGCCAATCGCAAAACATACCCCGGCGTAACCCCATCCTTCGTGATCGCCAACTGGCGGCCCCCAGGAGCTCCGACGAGAGCTTCTGGGAGCGAGGTTCGAGGCTCGAATCAGGTGCACCTCCTTCCTCCTCCTCCATCCCCGGTCGCAATCGCAGTGTCCACCCCTGGCCCCCGTCTCTGCGATACAGGCTGCGCCCCAGCCTGACTGGGCCCGCAGATGCAGCAAGAGAAGGACCTCTGGAGCCCTGCGGTCGCCCTGCGGGCGCTGGAGAGCACCGCGGGCTGCGCGGGGGCGGGTGCCGAATGCGCCCGCTGGGAAGGCGCCGAGCACTCCCCGAGCTCGCCGCTTGGCATGCGCCGAAGATGCCCTCAGGCATCTTGGACTCAGGAAGTGCAGACTCGGAGGAGGAGGAAGGTGTTGCCAGAAAGGTGGCCCTGGCCCAAGATGGCCTTGGCCCAAGGCGGCCCGAGGCGGCCCCCCTCCCAAGGTGTCCCTTGGAAGGCGCTGGAGGTAGCCCAAGATGCCCCCAGCTGTTCAAGGGAGGCCCAGATGGCATCCAGAGCACTCCTCGCGAGGCCCATAGGGTCCCAGGGCTGCATAGATGGCGTAAAAGCGGGGGACACCTTCGGCCAGGAATGCCCTGGGCGATCCCCGACAGTGGACAGCTGACAGGCAACAGATGGCAGAGCAGGACAGCCAACAGAGGTGGAACATCTGACAGGTGTGCGGGGGGGGGGGGGGGGGGGCGGTGTGGAGGGGGGGGGGGGGGGGGCAAACCACAGCTGTCTATCGCTCGGACGTCCATTCCCCGTGCATTCCTCGGCTTCGTGCGCTCCTGCTTTCGCACGATGCTCAGGGATGCTCCTCGACGGTCCTCGCCGAGAAACAGGGCGCGCGCCCGAGCGGTGCCGATGCAGAGGAAAGACGACGGCGCGGGGGTGCGGAGCCCGCGCGGGATGCGGGGTGGGGGGGGGCAGAAGGCGGGAGGCAGGGAGGGAGGGGGAGGGGGGAGAGACGAGGTAGGAGGGAGGAGGAGGAGGAGGAAGGGGGGGAGGGGGGAAGGGGGAGGAGAAGGAGGGAGGGAAGAGGGGGAGGAGCAGGAGGAGGACAGGGACGCGAAGGCGTGCGCGCGCGCGATGGGCCCCGCCTGAAGGCGCGGCTGTTCTGGCTCAGGTAGGCCTGCCCGCGGCCACCGGGAGGCAGAGCCGACCGACTGACGAGATGGAACAGCGCGGAGAGGACGGGGACAGTCGGCGGCGAGCGAGGGGGGGAAGCGAGAAAGAGGACGCCCTCTCAGAAGACGGCGGGACTCCTCAGGAGCCCTCCAGCCTCCTGAGAAAGGTTCTGTCTTCCGGGAAGGCTTAGATACTTCTCAGAAGGCCGGAGAACTTCCGAGCGTTCTGAGAAGGCCCGCCCCTTCTCACTTAGCCCGCGGGCTCGCTGCCGAGACAGGGAAGTGAGGGACTCGCATAGCATGTGAGCGATGGAAAGGAAAGGGCCAAGCGGTCTTACGCGGCGGCTTACGCGTGCCGCCGGCGCAGCAAGCCGCGTGGGAACAAGCGTGCTCACGCGAACCCTCACACGGTCAGCTTTCGCACAAATGTCCGCGCCGTTAACCCGACTATCATGCGTCGCTCAACTAGCTGACAATACTGAAAGTCCAGGCGAGAGTGGGGGACCTCTCTCGCAAAACATGTGGCGCAGTATGGAGCTCCCGCAGACAAAACCCGCTCCCGACGACCAGTACCACATTGGCATACAACTGTTGAGCCTGCAGTGCACTTCACATTTGTATGGGTGGTCCCGCCTCTGGTGCTTGCCACCCAAATCACTACGTTCACAATATGTTCTTTTATACGCGCTATCAAATGTTCATTACATGCTCGATGAGGCAGAGAGGTGGGTAGGGCACTTCGTCGGGCAACCTGACACATTTGGAACAAAACAGCATAACAATCACAATGCCCAAACTGTGTTTACACATAGGGGATCTGTATTGTGTAACATGAAGAATGTTAGTAGGGGTGTTCCGAGAGTTCACCACGTTGCCGCCCGATGACGTCCGTGGGCGGCTCATGGGCGCTTCGTGTGCTGACAAGGAGTACCGAGGTTTCGCCACGTTGCTGCCCGCGGCCGGTGGCGGGCGCCTGGTGGGAGCGTGCCATCCGATGTACAGAGCTTACACCACGTAGGCACCGCGTAGCTTGCACCACATGGCTTGCACCACATAGCTTGCACCACACAGCTTGCACCACATAGCTTCCACCGAAGAGCTGTGCCGAAATGAGTGCGGCGGGCGCGTGCGAACGCAACCACTGGGCGTTCGGCGGAGCTCCATATGTGGCCACGGAACGTGTCAGGGGTGTGTCGAAATGGGCTTGGTGGGCACATGCGAACGCAACCACTGGGGCACCAAACGTGTGAGGGGTGTGCCGACATGGGTGCGGCGGGTGCATGCGAACGCAGCCACTGGGGCCTTCGGTGGAGCTCCCTATGGGACCACGAAACGTGCGAGTGGTGTGCCGAAATTGTTGCGGAAGGCAGAAGCAGGAGTGGGAGGAGGGAGGGGGGAGGAGAGGAGAACCTTAAAACGCGAAAAAAACGGGAGCACACGCGCGCCGTCAGGAAATGGAGGAGGATAGTTCTCAGAGTAAGTAATTGTGAAAGAGCCAAGGGGTGAGTGGGAAGTAACTGGGGGGAAAGGGGAGGATGGCACTCGCCAGCAAAATATTACTCGAAAACATGACACTCTCCGTCCCGATTCTCGCATGCTTCTCGGTAGCCCCTGCACCTAAAGTCCAAGTCTCCTCTCCAAGCACGCACCCTCCCCCTCCGACAGGTGCGACCCGACAGCCGCGAGGATGGAATCCAGCGAAATAATTCGCACCTGACATCACCCTGCCCTTGCAGTCGACAGACGCGATCGCTCATGTACGCGCCACCCCATCGGCACATCATGGGCTAAAAAGACCACGTGCCCTGCAGCAAGACAACACATGTGGCTTCGTGAACCAGCGGGCACAAGTCATGCATCAAGTATGGAAGCTCCGATGAGTGCATGTACATTCGATTGCACTCGCGCGCTGACAGACACGTCGTATATGCCCGTCACTGCACGCGCTGCCCTGAGGCAACTGGCCTTGGAAATACACATGGTCTTCAGGGCCTTGATGGCCGTGGCCCGCGTGACCTGACGCGGCAACGCGAAATGAACTCCCTCACTCGGTACACGAGAGGCACCCCCGCCAACGCGCCATTGAATCGACGCCGAAGCTTGCATGAACCGACGTCACTGCTTACGTGCTCGACCAGAGATCCACTATACCCATTGACCCTCGACAGTCTTCGTCAATCCTCTGCGGTCTTCGACGGTTGCCACTGGTCGTCGGTGATCTCTGGCGGTTTCTGCACATAAGCTGGATGGATGCATTTGACAAGGGCGCCATAATCAAGCAACGAACGCAGCAGCGGATGTGACGCTTGCTCGAGACGCGAGAGGTAAGCTGGGCACCCTGGACTGTCCGTAGTGAGCGCCCCGCCTGACGGCTTCAAAGCATCGCTCATAATACCATAGTCCGCCACCGCCGTTGCAGCCGTTGGAATGTTTTCAATGTCGGTTCTGGCGATGCGTATTCATCACCGGATCTCTGCCTCTTTCGCCTTCCACACAAATTAGCCTGACGACAAACCCAACCAGATGCAGGTGCGAGAACCGCGAGTGAAAGGACGCAGGAGGAGGGCACGCAAACCCCGAATGGCGCACGCGCTGTATCCTCTGCTCTCATAGGCGGCGCGCCGCAGGAAGAGCGAGGCGCAAGGCAGGGCGGGCAGGGGGGGCACGAATGGGTGGGACGTGTGCGAACTTTCGGTGGAGCTCCGTATCTGGCCACGAGACGCTGTACTGGGCGTGGCGGCAGAGCTCCCTGTGGGGCCGCGACACGCTGCAATGAGCGTGGCGGACGCATGCGGGCACCCCCACGGGGGCCCTCGGTGGAGCCCCGTATGGGGCCACGAAGCGCTGTACTGGGTGTGGCGGACGCATGCGGGCACCCCCACTGGGGCCTTCGGTGGAGCTCCGTATGGGGCCACGAAATGCTGTACTGGGCGTGGCGGACGCATGCGGGCATCCCCACTGGGGCCTTCGGTGGAACTCCCTATGGGGCCACGAAACGCTGTAATGAGTGTCGCACGGTTGATGATCATGATGATGATGATGATGATGATGATGATGATGATGATGATGATGATGATGATGATGATGATGATGATGATGATGATGATGATGATGATGATGACGATGCCGATGATAGTGATGATGAAGATGATGGGTTGACGATGATGACGACGACGGCAATGATGATAATGATGGTGACGATGATCATGGTCATGATCGTGATGACGATGATGGCAGGGGAAGGAGGGGGCAGCGGGAGGAGTGAGAACGCGGAGCGCTGTCCCTTCAAAACGAGGACCCAACACAGCAGGATGGTTAGGAAAAACCGCCATAAACGAAAGCTCGGGCAGGCCCGCCGAGGCGTCCCCGCCCGCGCCCCAACCCGTTTTCCCAACCATCCTGTGGTGTTGGGTCCTCGTTTTGAACAGACAGCGCCCCGCGTTCACTCCTCCTCCTCCTCCCGCTGCCCCCTCCCTCCTCCTCTCATCAGCATCATCATCGTCATCATCATCATCATCATCATCATCATCATCATCGTCATCATCATCAAATTCATCATCATCCTCATCATCATCCTCAGCATCATCCTCATCATCATCCTCATCATCATCCTCATCATCATCCTCATCATCATCATCATCATCATCATCATCATCATCATCATCATCATCATCACCATCACCATCCCCATCATCTTTATGCAAGGGGCTAGCCGTATCATCATCATCTTCATCATCATCATCATCATCACCATCATCGTCGTCAGCATCATCGACATCATCATCGACATCGTCACCGTTACCGCCCTCGTCGTCATCATCATCATCATCAGCATCATCATCATCATCATCAACATCATCATCATCATCATCATCATCATCATCATCATCATCATCATCATCATCATCATCATCATCATCACCCATTTCGGCGCACCGTTCACACGCTTCGTGGCCCCACAGGGAGCTCCACCGAAGGCCCCACTGGCGGTGCCCGCATGCGTCCGCCACACCCAGCACAGCGCTTCGTAGCCCCATAGGGAGCTCCACCGAAGGCCCCAGTGGGGGGGGGGGTCGCATGCGGTTCCCCCGCCCAGGGCAGCGTTTCGTGGCCCGTAGGGAGCTCCGCCGATGGCCCCAGTGGGGGGGGGTCGCATGCGGTTCCCCCACCCAGGGCAGCGTTTCGTGGCCCCATAGGGAGCTCCACCGAAGGCCTTAGTGGGGGTGTTCGCATGCGGTTCCCCCACCCAAAGCATCGTTTCGTGGCCCCATAGGGAGCTCCACCGAAGGCCCCACTGGGGGTGTTCGCATGCGGTTCCCCCACCCGCAGCGTTTCGTGGCCCCATAGGGAAACCCGCCGACAACCCCAGTGGGGGGGGGGCGCATGCGGTTCCCCCACCCAGGGCAACGCTTCGTGGCCATATAGGGAGCTCCACCGAAGGCCCCAGTGGGGGGGGGGCGCATGCGGTTCCCCCACCCAGGACAGCGCTTCGTGGCCCCATAGGGAGCTCCACCGAAGGCACCAGTGGGGGTGTTCGCATGCAGTTCCCCAACCCAGGGCAGCGCTTCGTGGCCCCATAGGGAGCTCCGCCGAAGGCCCCAGTGGTTGCTCTCGCATGCGGTTCCCCCACCCAGGGCAGCGCTTCGTGGCCCCATAGGGAGCTCCACCGAAGGCCACAATGGCTGCTCTCGCACGCGGTTCCCCCACCCAAGGCACCGTTTCGTGGCTCCACCGAAGGCCCCAGTGGCTGCTCTCGCATGCGGTTCCCCAACCCAGGGCAGCGTTTCGTGGCCCCATAGGGAGCTCCACCGAGGGCCGCAATGGCTGTGTTCGCATGCGGGTCCCCCACCCAGGACAGCGCTTCGTGGCCCCATAGGGAGCTCCACCGAAGGCCCCAGTGGGCTCCACCGAAGGCCCCAGTGGTTGCTCTCGCATGCGGTTCCCCCACCCAGGGCAGCGTTTCGTGGCCCCATAGGGAGCTCCACCGAAGGCCCCAGTGGCTGCTCTCGCATGCGGTTCCCCCGCCCAGGGCAGCGTTTCGTGGCCCCATAGAGAGCTCCAACGAAGGCCCCAGTGGCGCAGTTCGCATGCGGTTCCCCAACCCAGGGCAACGCTTCGTGGCCCCATAGGGAGCTCCACCGATGGCCCCAGTTGGGGTGTTCGCATGCGGGTCCCCCACCCAGGACAGCGTTTCGTGGCCCCACAGGGAGCTCCACCGAAGGCCCCAGTGGGCTCCACCGAAGGTCCCAGTGGCTGCTTTCGCATGCGGTTCCCCCACCCAGGGCAACGTGTCGTGGCCCCATAGAGAGCTCCACCGAAGACCCCAGTGGCTGCTCTCGCATGCGGTTCCCCCACCCAGGGCAGCGCTTCGTGGCCCCATAGGGAGCTCCACCGAAGGCCCCAGTGGCTGCTCTCGCATGCGTTTCCCCCACCCAGGGCAGCGCTTCGTGGCCCCATAGGGAGCTCCACCGAAGGCCCAGTGGCTGCTCTCGCATGCGGTTCCCCCACCCAGGCAGCGCTTCGTGGCCCCATAGGGAGCTCCACCGAAGGCCCCAGTGGCTGCTCTCGCATGCGGTTCCCCCACCCAGGGCAGCGTTTCGTGGCCCCATAGGGAGCTCCACCGAAGGCCCCAGTGGGGGTGTTCGCATGCGGTTCCCCCACCCAGGGCAGCGTTTCGTGGCCCCATAGGGAGCCCACCGAACCCAGGGCAGCGTTTCGTGGCCCATAGGGAGCTCGAAGGTTGGGGGCATGCGGTTCGCAGCGGTTCCCCCACCCAGGGCAGCGTTTCGTGGCCCCATAGGGAGCTCCACCGAAGGCCCCAGTGGGGGTGTTCGCATGCGGTTCCCCCACCCAGGGCAGCGTTTCGTGGCCCCATAGGGAGCTCCACCGAAGGCCCCAGTGGGGGTGTTCGCATGCGGTTCCCCCACCCAGGGCAGCGTTTCGTGGCCCCATAGGGAGCTCCACCGAAGGCCCCAGTGGGGGTGTTCGCATGCGGTTCCCCCACCCAGGGCAGCGTTTCGTGGCCCCATAGGGAGCTCCACCGAAGGCCCCAGTGGGGGTGTTCGCATGCGGTTCCCCCACCCAGGGCAGCGTTTCGTGGCCCCATAGGGAGCTCCACCGAAGGCCCCAGTGGGCTCCACCGAAGGCCCCAGTGGTTGCTCTCGCATGCGGTTCCCCCACCCAGGGCAGCGTTTCGTGACCCCATAGGGAGCTCCACCGAAGGCCCCTCTAGCTGCTCTCACATGCGGTTCCCCCGCCCAGGGCAGCGCTTCGTGGCCCCATAGGGAGCTCCACCGAAGGCCCCAGTGGCGCAGTTCGCATGCGGTTCCCCAGCCCAGGGCAGCGCTTCGTGGCCCCATGGGGAGCTCCACCGAATGCCCCAGTGGCGCAGTTCGCATGCGGTTCCCCCACCCAGGGCAGCGCTTCGTGGCCCCATAGGGAGCTCCACCGAAAGCCCCCGTGGCGCAGTTCGCATGCGGTTCCCCCACCCAGGGCAACGCTTCGTGGCCCCATAGGGAGCTCCACCGGAAGCCCCCGTGGCGCAGTTCGCATGCGGTTCCCCCGCTCAGGGCAGCGCTTCGTGGCCCCATAGGGAGCTCCACCGAAGGCCCGCCCCAGTGGCGCAGTTCGCATGCGGTTCCCCCACCCAAGGCAGCGTTTCGTGGCCCCATAGGGGGCCCCACCGACAGCGGCACCCACAACGCGTTACGAACAATTTCTTATGGTTGGGTCCTTCGCCAGGATGATTCCCCAGGCGCCCATCCGAGCGCACTGGCGGACTTGTGCGGCAGCGCAACTGATTTTATTGCGCGGCAGCCCCCCGCAACAGCAGTAGCACTAGCCCACCACCATGCCCTCTGACACTTTGAGGCGTGGTAGAATGCCAAGCGAGCGACGACAAGAACGAAGCCTTCCGCACGATGACATAGCAATCTTACGCGGGTCGCCAACGTGGCACACCCCGTGAAGAAAAGTGCGCTTAAGCACGGCCTTGCGCGGGAAGCTGCAGCTACAATGT